AGCCACGTGAAGTTGGCCCCGCCCAGTGAAAATATTTGAACAAAATTATAGGTACGGTTAGTGCTACGTTAGTGCTGTTTAGTGCTGCAAGGGTAACGTTAGTGCTGCTATACAAAACGAAAAAAATAAAAAAAATCGGGGTGGGGCCAACTTCACAGTCAACTTCGCCTTATCGAAATAATGTAGGTATCCTCGGTTAGTGCTACGTTAGTGCTGTTTAGTGCTGCAAGGGTAACGTTAGTGCTGCTATACAAAACGAAAAAAATAAAAAAAATCGGGGTGGGGCCAACTTCACACTCAACTTCGCCTTATCGAAATAATGTAGGTATCCTCGGTTAGTGCTACGTTAGTGCTGTTTAGTGCTGCAAGGGTAACGTTAGTGCTGCTATACAAAACGAAAAAAATAAAAAAAATCGGGGTGGGGCCAACTTCACACTCAACTTCGCCTTATCGAAATAATGTAGGTATCCTCGGTTAGTGCTACGTTAGTGCTGTTTAGTGCTGCAAGGGTAACGTTAGTGCTGCTATACAAAACGAAAAAAATCAAAAAAATCGGGGTGGGGCCAACTTCACACTCAACTTTGCCTTATCGAAATAATGTAGGCTTCCACGGTTAGTGCTACTTTAGTGCTGCTCTACTAACAAAAAAAAACTTTTGCCAACCTCTGTTAAATTTGACTAACGTATAACTTCCATGGAGATAATTGTCAGTACAATTGTTTCCATGGAGATTAACTGTCAGTTAAATTTAACAGAGGTTGGTAAAAGTGGCCCTTAATTGAATAATATGTTTGTCTTGGGTTAGACTACGTTAGGAATTTTGAGTTTTCAGTTAGTTCAAGGTTCAACACTGCTTTATAAGTGTTAGCTTCAACTGACCGTTTTCGAGAAAAATAAAAAAAAACGAGAATTTTCACCTTTGACCTTGAATAACTTTTTTTAGCACACACGGGATCTATGGGGACTGGCGTACCCATGGTCTCCACAAATATTTAGCTATGTCGGAGTTTTTCTTATTTGAAATGTCTATTTTGACCGGACTATAAATTAACTGCAACACAGCATTAAATTAGCCGTTTTGTTTGCGATAATTATACCTAAAAATATTATGTTTAATGAACTTAAAAAAGTACTTTTGTAAGCTATTTATAAGCCGATAAGCGCTAAGACTAAGCTAAGACAAACTTCTTCATTTTTGTTAACTACATACTCCCCTAGTCCTTATATGCGAATATGAGATGCATTTGCTTTGATATAAATTCATTAAGTTATTATATTATGTCACCTTGAGTTCATGAATCATAACGTAATTATTGTTATAACGACAGATCAGCGTAAGTTTATATACCTAACTTCTTGTAGGTTGGATATTGAATGAGATTTTACAACATATTTTGTGTAATTACACTAACAGTTACTATGTGCATACTACATACTATACTTGCCTGTTTTGCAGATTTTTTTCAATACTTCACCTTTAAGAGTACCAGTTCTGGTGGTTGTAAAACTGAATGTTTTAATCCCTTTTCTGCACAAATTGTCACGTCCTTTCTATTCGGCAACATTGTTCTACACCATAAAAATGTTATACACTATGGATGCAACTTCCTGTTATTACAGTTTTGCTTCTCAGCGCTAAAACTGCAAAGCATTTGTTCTGAAGTGTTGTATTAGTTGAGGTCTTCTATATAACGTTCATATATACACTTTACATTCGATCTTAATGTTCAAATAATCGGTAAGTAATTGTATACAACTCATTAATTTAAATTATACTTAAAGTGCGCATCACTGGGTGAATTACTGAGATGCTTACACAATGAAATCACTCTGTTATCAACCTATTTTCGGCACTGTTATATCTGACATAATTATTTTTTGCTTACCTTATTACCGCACAATTTTGCAAAGACTTGCAACCACCACAATTAAAGCACAAACTATAACTCTACACAAACGATTAAGCTTTTAAAATTATGACTCTGTATAAACCTAAAGTTTACTTTGACGATATAGTCGAACAGTTTTTTGCAATAAATGCATTAGCTTCTGCAAATAGTCCAGTTTTGCTACACTTAAGGAATAAACCATTTTGTTTGTTAGCAGCTTGGTTGAAGTAGTTGACTGTTTTTTAGGTTCTTATATAAACAATGCCCCGAAAAAGCACTGTTCCAAAGGAGTACTTACGCGAAGTGCTTGAAACTTACGAAAGTATTTTTCTCCACGAGATTCCTGTTCCCAGTGATGGTGTATGGCAACAAATACAATCGCTCCATGCTATACCAATGACAACAAAGGCCATTTATACATTTGCAAAGAAAGAATATAAATGTGCAGTAGAAGCACCAAATATAGATCAAGAACAAGATAAATTGGGCGAACAAAGTGCAACTGATAGCGACAACGACGTAGAAGATGATCAACAAAAACATGGGTTGAAGTTTGTGGTAAAAATATCATCAGCGAAGTGGAAACTTATAAAACCGATAGTATCAGAGTATAACAGGACCGATAAGACAAGAATAAATAAAACAAAAAAATATGGAACTTTAAAACCGGGGATATGGACCGATGTTATAAACGATGCTATTTACAAAAAGAAAAATTTACCATGTAGATTAATGTTTAAGCGATCTAAAGTTGCTATAAGAGAAACTTTTGATACTTACGTTACCTTTTGGGCAAATTGCAAAGAGTGCAACGCAATGATCGTAGGTAAAATACAAGAAATACCAATTCCAGATCAAGATGTTTTGATTGAATGTTTTATCACTGGAAATACAAATGTGCAACATTCAAACAAGAAACGTCACTTTGCTGGCGAAACAAGACAGGCAGTTTCAAAGCATTTAGCAGAAAACAAGGTGTCTGTAAGCTATTATCGTAAGATGCAGATATCTGAACATGATATGGAACTGTATGAAAACGAACCTAAACATTTTCCATCCGAATCGGTTCTACGAAAGGCGAAAAGTGAATACCAAGAGAGTCAAAAATTAGATGTAAACCCCATACGCGCAGTTTTGCTAATGAAATACAGTGAAGCGTATAGCAACTGCATAAGGGATATTGGTCTAGACAAATTTCATGTATTTTATTGGTCAATTAATCAATTAAGAGTTTATAACAAGTATTGCGAGACGGTTTCGACTTCACAAATATCAATCGACGCAACAGGGAGTCTAATAAGAAAGTTGGACCGGCCAGGAAATAATAAATCAGGACACATATTTTTATATTGCGGAGTTATTCATTTGCAAGAAGGTTCAAGTGAAACTCAAATTCCCGTAGTTCAAATGTTATCTGAGAAGAATAATACAGCATTTGTTAGCTACTGGTTAAAGGAATGGATACGTTCTGGGGCTAAAGTTCCAAAACAGTGCGTCTCAGATTTTTCTTCAGCATTATTAAGCGGAATCTCCAATGCATTTACGACATCAACTACTATTCATGAATACCTAAATAACTGTTTCAGTGTTGTGTTTGGTCGTACACAACAGCTGCCTGAGTGCTACATACGTACAGATGTTGCGCATTTAATTAACTTTGTGAGGAAATGGAAATGTTTTCAAGGAAAAACAAAACGACACCGCGATTTATATATACGTGCTGTTGGGCAGTTGGTATTTTGTACTGACTTTAACAAAGCTGAAGAAATTATTAAATGTGTGCTCTTAATATGCCAAAGTGAGACGGAAGGGGTGTCAAAAGATACGAATAATTTAACTCTTTGCGAGATTAAGAAGAGATGGTTGAAAGAATCACAAACTGTGGAATATAATGTATCAAAATTTGCAGAAGCCTTTGACAAGTCGGAAGACGAAGAAGGTATTGATATCGTGCATGACCTGTGTGATGAGATCGTAGATAGTTTTCCTGAGTGGGTAAATGTATTACGCATGAACGTTGCCGAGACGTTGGAAGACTGTGGAGATCACGACAATCTTCACTATTTACCCTCCTTAGTAAAACCATTTTGCGACTTATGCACCAAGTTACCACTATGGACAGCCATAATGCAACCGTACTTTCAATATGGTAAGCTTAGTGCTAGTAGTGCATCTGTAGAAAGTTACTTTGGAGAACTCAAAAATCAACTCTTCACCAAAGGACTTTCTACTGTGGACCAGTTTTTGTTGACACACATTCAATTGAATGAAGGATCAATGATTATAAGCAGCGCAAAAAGCAGCCCGCTTCCGATGAAGATGTCAACACGATCTTTATCGCCAAACAGTGAAGAACTCCACGCTACGGAAAACTGGAAAGGCAAAGGATCCCACAAATCTAAAATTAAAGCAGTGTATTTAACACCTGCATTAAACACTACATTCAAAGATAACCCTAAATCGTTCTGTAAAACTATAAAGTGCGGGTTTCTAAAAAATGGCAACAGTTTTGACCTAAAAAGTATTCGTGTCGGTGGAATATCCTATTCCGTAACAAACACGTGCGCCTTTGATAGTGTAGTGCAGGGTTTGGCAACAGCCTATTGTGATAGTGAACATTTTAAAACTCTTTTTGATGAACACACTAGTGACTTTAATGTTATTGTTAAGAACGTGTCTCACAATAAAGTAAACGTCGGTACGTACGCATCTCGTTGCAAAATCCTTAAAGACATTTTTGATCAATGTATTTTATATACAGGTGTCGTACATGTAGATTGTAATTGTAACATTACTTACATCATTTCAAAAGTAATGCAACCAACGTACACAGAAACAAAAAATTGTTGTTCTTCTGATACTAACAGTAGACATTTCTTTTACGTTACGGTTGACAGCAATATTTTTTCTGAATGTGTTGCAAATTTATCACTTGCAATTGAAACTCCTCTACGAGATATAGAAAATAAGAAAAAATGTTGTAGTAAACCGTACGTAAGGGAAATGGGAAAGTTCGGACACGTAGTTGTTGATATTCCTACCCTAAATGGAGAAACCACGTTGATTGAAATGTCTTTAAAAGATATTCCTTTGTCTATTACATTATTTGATTGCACATTTCAATTAAAGTGTGTTTGGAACTTCATTTCTCCTATGAACGGTACCGAAATAGGTCATTACACTGCATTTTGTAAGAGAGTCAATGGAGAATGGGAGTTATATGACGATTGTCAAGCAGGATCTCTTGTAATTAACCAAAATAGAACTGTTACACCGCATGCTCTGTTGTATACAATATAAAATATTTTTTGTATTGTGTTTTTCCTCGTTATGCATAGCAGTACCTACAACTTTAGATAATTTAACATTCTTCGCTGACACCAAGGTTAGCGTAAAATTATATCAGTGTAGTTTACCCTAATTTTTTCACCTTTTCCATTTAGTAAATGAGTACAAACTCACTCGCCGCGGCTCGCGTGGCGTAGTTGCGTGAAAGCTCGACTTCGCACAGCACCCGTGTGTGCTAAAAAAAGTTATTCAAGGTCAAAGGTGAAAATTCTCGTTTTTTTTTATTTTTCTCGAAAACGGTCAGTTGAAGCTAACACTTATAAAGCAGTGTTGAACCTTGAACTAACTGAAAACTCAAAATTCCTAACGTAGTCTAACCCAAGACAAACATATTATTCAATTAAGGGCCACTTTTACCAACCTCTGTTAAATTTAACTGACAGTTAATCTCCATGGAAACAATTGTACTGACAATTATCTCCATGGAAGTTATACGTTAGTCAAATTTAACAGAGGTTGGCAAAAGTTTTTTTTTGTTAGTAGAGCAGCACTAAAGTAGCACTAACCGTGGAAGCCTACATTATTTCGATAAGGCAAAGTTGAGTGTGAAGTTGGCCCCACCCCGATTTTTTTGATTTTTTTCGTTTTGTATAGCAGCACTAACGTTACCCTTGCAGCACTAAACAGCACTAACGTAGCACTAACCGAGGATACCTACATTATTTCGATAAGGCGAAGTTGAGTGTGAAGTTGGCCCCCCCCCGATTTTTTTTATTTTTTTCGTTTTGTATAGCAGCACTAACGTTACCCTTGCAGCACTAAACAGCACTAACGTAGCACTAACCGTACCTATAATTTTGTTCAAATATTTTCACTGGGCGGGGCCAACTTCACGTGGCTAGAAGGGAGCCTGGAGGTACTTTTCTGTTCACTTTTTTATCGGCAGAACAAAATCTAAACATTTTGAGTTTTCCCTGAAATTAATTTCAGTAGAGATTTCAGCATTGGTGTGTGTATACTCTGTTGTGACTCTTTTGTAAAAAAATACGGTTAATGCGCATATTGTCGCCGGAATCTGATGGTGCTTGCGGTGGACGAAAATATGCCTAGGGTAGTTTATCTTTATTATTGTGATAAACCAGATTATTTATGCACAAAAATGTAATAATTTAAATGCAACTTTTTTATATCAAAATATATGTACAGAAGTATTCCAAAATAATCGGTATATGTCATGCCATTTTTAAACTTCTTCAAAAAACTAAGGAAACTGGAATTCATTCCGTTAAAGAATTTTAAACCGTTCGTTACCAGTTTATAGGTTTAATTAACGACGATGAATACACGACCCATGATGCTATTCGTAAGGAGGCTAACTTTTACAATATACAACCGATCCGAACATTAGTTCCTATCAAAATCAATTATCTAATGCGAAAGCCACCCCTAAGTTAAACAAAATTTCATTGCCAATATTTACCGGTTTACTAAAAGAATGGCCATCGTTTTTTGATCTTAGTCAATGAAAATGAATGCTTATCTAACGTGGAAAAACTCTACTACCTCGTTCACGTTTTTACGGGAAGAAACAATAAATTTAATTCGCGGTGTACCAATAACCAATGAAAACTATACCATCGCATTTGCGACTTTGGTAAAACGATATAATAAGCGCAATTTAGCCACAACGTACTATCAAAATCTACATACCGCACCCGCTATGTAACGCAGTGGCGGATTTAAATTTTTTGCGCCCCTATGCACACCGATAGATATGCGCCCCTCCAAAAATAATCTTTAAATTTTAAGATGCTAATAAAAATCAAATTATAACTTGAAATTTTTAAAACTAATATGAAAAGAAATACAGTTCCCCTAAGATTAAGTTTTCATACACGTCAAAACTTGCATTGTCGATTATCGTTCTTACACTTACAGTTTGTTTAAACTATCATACCAATTCCAATTTATTTCATAATTTTAATTAAATTTTTTTTTCATTTGTAACTTGTTAGGGCACTTATTTTAAAACCTAAAATATTCTAAAATATAGTGCAAACAAATGCCACTCCCTAAAGCTGCCGCCTAGGTACGTGCCTAGTGTGCCTATATGTAAATCTGCCACTGATGCAACGTCCTTCTGCTAAGGAGCTTTTTTTGCCTCTTAGACAAGTTTTGTGAGAACGTCAAAGTATTAATGCAAGCTTAATTTTCCGGTTGGGGAATGGGACCATTATTTTATCTAATTGTTTAATAAAAAAATTAGACTCCAAAACGCGTCCCCAAATTAAATACGAGTTCAGTTCATCAGATAATGAACGTTGTGCCTTTTTAGAAAACTGCCAAAACTTGAGCCTCCGCTCAACTGATCAATTCTGACTTCTGACTCTGCAAAACTTAAACTCGAACCAATGATAGGCTAATTAAAACATACATTTACTACTAAAAACACTAGCATTTTGACCAGTGACAATCATAATTCAGATTCAGAAAATAAAGTAGGTATATACGCTAAAATGTCCCTTTGTATTTTTCCTTTCATCAGATTTACAAATGTTCGCTCTTTTTATAGAAAAGTCCACAAAATCGCTTCCCGTTGGCCGTTGCCCAATCAGCTTAATGCATTCCCTTCATAAATCTTCAAAACGTCAATCAAAAATCATCCAATCTCCATGATCAAAACCAACTACGAGTAATTTGCAATTAAGTGGTGTAACTATTAACGCAATAGATAATGTTTGTTCCACTGTAATGTTATCTACAGCAGTTGTAAAAGTAAAAGAAACGGTAAATGGCGTTTTGAATTTTAATTGATTCTGGTAAATTGTGTGATCAAAACTCTCTAAACCTTCCCCATATAGTTTTTATTCGTTGAAGTTTTTAAAAATAAAAGCGACTATAGTTTCGGCGTACTGCCATCATCAGGCGACTAGAAGTTTATCACAATATAGCAAATTTGAAAACATTAAGAGCTAGTACTTACTGTAAAATTTAACAGGAAAACGGTAAGTTACAAACGTTGAAGACGAATAAGACGAACATGTTGTTTTTAATTATTAACTGGCCGAAGCCAAATGAAACAACCTGAAGGGTGGTTAAACCGGAAAGGTTGTCCTAAGTTTTCGAGGAACGATGGATCCAACCCAAAAAAAAAAAAATTGATTCTGGTAGTTATTTCAGATATGTTTCAATCGCTTAGGCTTAAATCGGTATCGTGCTCTCGTAGCAATTGAACGTCTTAACAATTTGATTTTGATGCAATTATAGTGCGACGCCTAACCCAAGTTTCGTTTACCATTAAAATAACTGGTCTCATATAAATAACTTAAAATTAGCTGATCCAAGTTGCCACCATCCGCACACCTATACAGAATATGTGTGTACCAAATTTGGTTCCAATTGGATATGAAAGTTTGACTCATGCGCGATTCTGCTCTTCCTTTTACGTCTATACGAATATGTGTACCTACCTAATTTGGCTCCGATCGGTTCAGCCGTTTAGCCGGGAATGAGAGTACAGACTGATTCGGATTCCTCGTGCTTCAAAACTTGTGTATTTCCGTCAAAAAGTGGGACACCATTTTTTACCCCGATGCAATACTTCCCTTACTAACGTGCAGGTGGTAAAAACAACATCTAATTTATTGTTAAATGACATTCTCCTATGTTGGCCCTAAGCTACAGCGAGATATATTTGACGTGTAGGTCTGAACGTTTGCTGTTATCCCGTTGCCTTTATTTGTGACATAAAACAAATGTACAGACAGGTCCTAATGGAAGCTTCGCATTATCAGCGGATTTTGTTTTTCTCCGCTCGATAGTGTCTAAGAATATAGACTGTTACCTATGGAACATCGTCTTCGCCCTTTTTAGCTTTACTAACTATTCAAGAATGTAGCTAATATTTACAATTAACAATATCCATTGGCTTCTAAGATGTTAATAGAGGAAATACTTTGATGGCTGGTCATACTCAGTCTCTAGCGCAATGAAACTAAAGAACGATTCTTGTTCAATTGTTGGGTTTGGGAGGATTTGAATTAAAAAAGTATTTTATTTACAATGGAATACCTACTCACAATGATGTCTTTGGTTACTCATATGTCCCAAAAGACACGCCGTGTTCAAAACGTGGTACCCTTTCGGAGATTGGTAGTGTAGTATTTATGATCCTTTGAGTTCTTTGACGCCATGCACATTATTGGCTAAATGCGTTATGCATTAACTCAAACAGCAATTAAAAACGTGTCTTAACAAACGAAAATGCGACGTACTTTCCTGATTATTCTTAAAATGAACAAAAAGTTTCAATGCAGGGAAAGAATCTAATTGCCGTGATGTCCCGTCTAAACGCAGTTTGAGAAGTTAGATGAAGACGCCGTTAGGGAAAGTTTAAACTCTAAAGACAACATATTAAAAGTTTTTACGGTCATAATAAAAATGGAAAAAGTGCTACTCCCATTTTAATGTTTAATTCCACATTCAAAACTTTTGAATTATGTTTTTTGTCAAATGTAAAAAACGTCGTAAAAGCGAACTTTACGTCTGGGATAAAGCTGGTTTATAGAATGGCCGCATTTAATCAATGTCGTGATGTGAAAGTATAACGCGTTAAAATTAGATGAAAAAGAATCAAAGCCTGGCCAATTTTGTGTGAGAGTAATTAAAAACACCGAAACACTGTTATTATTTAAAGCAACACCTAAACGCGAAAAGTTAGAGGGATCCGAGAGCATAAAAGTTTTATGAATCATAAAGATGTTGATTTAGATGCTGGCATTGTTTTGGTGTTCGTGTTAGATAAAAGCTGTTTGGTATTTTGACAAACAATATATTATTCCACCTCGTATAGGTGTACATTTTATACAAACGCCTCGATTAAAAAGCTGCATCAGGAACGGAAAAATAAACCTTTTCGCATCATGCTCAAAACGTGTGCACCACGAAAACCGGGGGCAGTATCTTTATTATTATTATTATATTTATTACACCCATCGAGATACAAATGAAATATAAACCGTCACCCTACACAGTATTCAACATTAACTTAAGTTACACAAAATGTACGAGTAAGTAGGTATATGTATGTTTGTCTACTCCACTAAGGTCCACTTTTTAGATCACAGCACATAATTAGTTTTCCTCCCAACATTCGCCCCATGTTAAAAACCCGTCTTTATTTAGTGAGCAGAACACGTTATTGAT